CCAAAGGTAAGTGTCCATAGTAGCCACCGAAGATCTACTGATACTGAAATAGGGAGGAGCACTCCTTTCAAAATTGTGATATTGCCCCTCCTTTTGGCCAAGGAGGTTATATTTAAAGCTCGTTCTGGTGGCCAATGGTCATTCCTTTGGCAAATGGTCACTCCTTTGGCAAATGGTTACAGTCTTTTCACCGTAGGATCTGCTTGGTTTGAGTCTCTTTCTACTGACCCTCTTACTCGGGGTGACTCAGTCATTCACCGACTTTAAACTACCGGCATACGTGTAGCACGGGTAAGCTTAATAGGATGTTTTGTATGCGATATTGGCCATGGGGTCTGCCATCGGATCTCTAATCTCCAAGAAGATGCTACGATGGCAGGGAACTAACCATTGGGTGTCCATAGTAGCCACCGAAGATCTACTGATACTGAAATAGGGAGGAGCACTCCTTTCAAAATTGTGATATTGCCCCTCCTTTTGGCCAAGGAGGTTATATTTAAAGCTCGTTCTGGTGGCCAATGGTCACTCCTTTGGCAAATGGTCACTCCTTTGGCAAATGGTCACTCCTTTGGCAAATGGTTACAGTCTTTTCATCGTAGGATCTGCTTGGTTTGAGTCTCTTTCTACTGACCCTCTTACTCAGGGTGACTCAGTCGTTCCCTGACATTGAACTACCGGCATATGTGCAGCACGGGTAAGCTTAATTGGGTGTTTTGTATGCGATATTGGCCATGGGGCCAGCCATGATCTCTAATCTCCAAGAAGATGCTACGATGGCAGGGCCCTAACCATTGGGTGTCCATAGTAGCCACCGAAGATCTGCTGACACTGAAACAGGGGCGTAGTTTCCCCTACATGTGGCTAATGATCACTCCTTTGACCAACAGTGGTTACCGTGAGTACAGTCTTTCCAATCGATGGATCTGCTTAATTGGGAATCACAATGATGGTTACAAATGAAAAGACATGGACTAAGTGACTGCGAACTCAAATTAGGTACAACTTATATTCTCGCAGCCACTTTTACAATGAAAGAACAATATTTTACAAGACATTTGAAAATACATGAGACATCGCGTGAGCAACAAACCTCCCATCCCAGAAGACACAGTTAAAAGCGTTTTGTTTCTTTTATGTAATATTGTGCGGCTAACATTATTTTGCAGTTGATATCATATGAATAAAAAAAAACTACCGCGTAGAACTAAATGCTGTTTCGAATTGTCAGAAACAATATTACCAAGTATGCTTGAAAGCTTGCCAAAGAGGACTGAGCGCTGGTGTATATAATGAGCAATCGTTTCATATGGACACCCGCAGCTACAGACTTCGGGATTAATTGGGGACTAATGAATGAACAAGTTTCTTCCCCTATATCCAGACGTCGACGTCCTGCATCCATTGTCTCCATCAGACTCACAAAACAATTTGTAACATTTGGCAAAATAGGCCAGATTGGCCAGAGGTGTAGCTTCCAGAATCCGAGGGCTTTATCCAGCTACAACCATTACGCGTATCCAAAACCGTGCCTGATCGACGAGGTAAACCTACGTTCTTGGATACGAGGAGACTATCCAGAACCGCGCCTGACCCTACAACCCCTTCTGGCATAGAACAATACTAAGCACGGTTCTGGGTACTTGTACAATAGCCAATGAGTTCATTTGTATGTATGTATGTAAGTCCCATAGCCTTCACGGCCGTAGGGGCATCATGACAGCCAGCAGCATGTCAGGCTAATCTTGGCGGCGCCTATCTCCTCTCCAAGATTTGGCTGATACAGACGGGGTTCGCCAGGCCTCCGTCCGGGTGAATGATGTAGTTCACCATGTGGCTATACAAGATGGAGGTCACCAGGCCTCCGTCCGGGTGATTTGAAGTGAATCACCAACTCCATACAGTAGTGTTTGTACCATCGCACACCGGGGCATGCCCCTACTCTTTTTCGAAAGGTGTGGTGGGATCTTTAACGTGCTCGAGGTGTGGCTCTCCTCAAACACGGGACCTCCAGTTTACGTCCTATCCGAGGGACGTCCCTAGCCGAAGCTAGGTACTCATTTACACCTGAGTGAAGTGAGGAAAATCGTGTAAAGTGCCTTTCCCAAGGGCACAAGATCGGTGACACGGGTGGGGTTCGAACCCACAACCTCTGGGGTGTAAGCCGAACGCGCTACCGACTGCGCCACACGACCCCACAAATGAGTTCATTTGCCCGTTTATAAATACTTCGATCGGTCATCCCTAGCCCCACCCTTCTGGCCAATGACCCCGTCCTAAACTTTTGCCGAATTCTACTTTATCCAAACCCCCTTAGGAAGGCCTGGCGGAGGCTAATCCAGGATGCCCATGCCTCCTGGCGGCGCAAACTCTGTTGGTAATAATATAAGCTGGATTCTTAGACCGGTGGGCTGGATCGTGAAAGGGTAAAGTGATGCCTTGTGAGTAAGCCGGCCTGCGGAGGCCGGTCCCCGGGGTGTACAATATTGGCCGTGTATCTCACCTCCCTGACCTCAGAAATAACGATGAGTTGGAGTTTAAAGCGCTGAGGAAATCTTGCGACATCAGCAATTTTTTTCTGGGCTCATCAGAGTGTCTGGAAATGATATCGATCAAAAGTATATATCCTCCAGCCTCATGTCATATACATGTAAAGTAGTGTGTGAAATTGTAACTAGCGGCACTAAGTTATAGACGGTTATTAAAGTTTTTTTTGCAAGTTCGTTCCCGAAGGCAAGTACGTGGACATGGATGGGAAACATACAAGTGATAGGGACATAGATAACATATACATGAACAACAGTGGTCATACTGGTGACTATGAAAAATAAACTAATACTAGATAATATGCAGATGTCGTTTATAAATACCGCTAACTGTAACCAGTTAGATGGTTATGGATTTTTTCTTTGTTTTAAGTTCGTTCCCGAAGGCAATTGAGTACGTACGTTCATGGACATATATGTAGTTCTTCCTCTTTTCTTCTTTAGTAGGGACATAGATAACATGTACTTGAACAGTGGTTGTAACAATAAACTAATCAAAATACTAAGTAATGGTTATTATTAAAAATAAAAACTAATAATAGTCTGGAGAATATGCGGATGTCATTCATATAAAGACTTCTGACTCTAAAGAATAGAACCATGAGCAGAGAGTGACCGTCTAATTTCCAAGCCGGGGCCCGACCGGGTAGTTTACGGGAACGGAAAGTATAATATAAAGGAGAATTAACAAAACACACAAAACATCTAACAGCTAATCATGAGCATAATTTATGCATCTTCTTGATATGCATCTTTATTTTTCGTTCATTCAAACAGCCCGGTCGGGCCCCGGCTTAGAATTGTGACTCCAGAATAAGTTCAAGTACGATGCCGTACAGTAAAGCGCAGGAATGTGCGGGCAAAACAGGTTCGAATTCTTACATTTTTAGAGGTTCTGTGAGACCTTAAGCAAACTTTCATATCCTTATGTGATATTTCCCGCTTGTACATCGTGACTATGACACCTTAGTTCCGAAGACCCCTCACATCACTTCGTAAGGTGTCACTGTCAAAGCTGTCAGGGACTAGCAGTACATCTGGCTTAGCCTGGAGTACAGTCTTGTTAGTGCGCTCCCCAAGATCCGCTATCCAAGTTGGCTGGGTAGCGGATCTTGGGGAGCGGACCAAAGCTATATATAATTCTAAACAGGGATACCTATATAAATACCCTAGCAAGGCCGGACTCCAGCCTACAGAGGAGTGACGCGCAAAGGCACTCGCTAGGAAAGGTCGGCGGATGCGGTATCAACTGTACAAACATCGGGGCATTTTTTTCATGCCTTCTTTCCAACATGGGTTTTTCCATGCATTCATTTTCTTCGTGAGTCGTCAACATGCTGTGATGAATGTGGCAGTCGGTACTTTTGGTTGGGTTCACTTGCAATAACTCAGATTTTTTAAAATCTTATCAAGTATATGTACATCATATGAAACTTGTTGATCGTATAGTAGGATTACACTTTGACACAACATGCAGGCGTTTGAGCAAAATTATTTTAAATGGGGGGGTGACAATTTTAAACACATATATTTGCAGAGTTTCAGTTGTTTGCTTTTTCCCGCTGTTAAGATGGGACAGTCCACCGTCTTTCATCAAGGGCTCCACGAATACTCCAGACAAAAGTTAGTCCCAACTTTGTTTCTGTATCTGTATAGCCGGTATAACCGCCCTTCGGCGTAACACACTAGCTTCTGCATCTGTATAGCCGGTATAACCGCCCTTCGGCGTAACACACCAGCTTCGCAGGCACGCGGCGCGGCGGTAGCTGGCTACATTACACCGAACAACTTGTTTCCCTTCGCCGTGCACAGACCAGCGATCTGAAAGATGCTACTCCTGACTCCTGAAATATATTCCAAACGTTTACCACCAGGAGTTAATTGGTGTGTGTGTTTGTTTTTATGTGTTTTTGTCC